GGTCTGATGACTCAAAAATAATTTCCCGTTGCTTTCTCAAATCTCTCCTGAAAATATATGACTTTTTCGGCATTTGAAGATATTTTGTTGAATTGCGATTTTCACTTCAGCCACAAAACTGACAGCTCAGGAAGGATAAGTGTGGTTACGATTCCAGCAGAGCGTGGCGACGCAGGTGAAGGTGGCAGGTAAAGCTCACAAACGTGCAGAAACTGCCTCTTTGTTCCAGTGACCTTGCAGCTCCCGCAGGGTCAATTTCACTGACAGGGAGGAAAAAACACGACTTAATCCAGATATTAATAGAGCTGTCGGAGGGCTAGACTCTCCTCTGCGGCCTGTTTACGCAGCGTTTTCATTCAACAATTGACATGAGCTGTGTTGATCCTGTAAATACCACTTCAGAAAAAAGAATTATAAAATATTACAGCCACGGCTGGATAACACTGAGGAGGGGCGGAGGGGATTAGCAGATTATCAGAAAATGTCAGGATTAAAGTAGAACTACAGCCGACCCGGGTTCTTTTCAGCTTTGGATAGAGTAGGAAAGGGTTAAAAAGGTGTAGTTCTACTTTTGCAGTCAAATTTGGGAAAATCCGTTATGTTTGTTATGTCCTCTTATTCCCACCTCATACCTAAAAATTAGGGATCGGTGCCGATGCCGAGTATTTGGCCAAGTACTCATGCTCGCCCAAATGCTCCCGATACTAATCCCGATACCGGAACTTCCGGTATCAGGAAGTTAGGCAGAGAGTCATTACACGCCACCCGGCTTCCTGATTGGCCCGGGAAGCTGGCTCCATGCTTCGTCCTCCCTTGGTGACGAGAGAGCATGGAGTCGGCTTTCCGGCCAATCAGGAAGCCGTGCGGCGTATAATGATGTGTAAATTAGGCATGTAAATTAGCAAAGAATGACCCCTGCCAGAAAGCACAGCCAAATCTTGGACCGCCACTGCTTCACAGAAGCACAACTTGGTTAACATCACACTCGCAACCACTGATTAGATGAATGAAGGAGAAGCAGCACACTATGGAGTCATCTCTTTGCTCACTCTGCTCTCCCCTGCAGACAGCATGTTCCCTGTAAGGACAGGTGCACATACATGCCGCTAAGCCTCACTGGATGCACATATATATGAAAAGAAAAAAAATGATATATACACGATCAGCCATAACATTATGACCACTGAGAGGTAAAGGGAATAACACTGATGATCTCATTACAATGGCACCTAGAAATGGATGGGATATATTAGGTAGCAAGTGAACATTTTGTCCCTGAAGTTGATGTGTTGGAGGCAGAAAAAATGTGTAAGTGTAAGGATTTGAGCGACTTCAACATGAGCCAAGTTGTGATGGCCAGACGACTGGGTCAGAGCAACTCCAAAACTGCAGCTCTTCTGGGATGTTCCCGGGCTGCAGTGGTCCGGACTTTCCAAAAGTGGTCCAAGGAAGGAAAACCGGTGAACCGGTGACCGGGTCATGGGCAGCCAAGGCTCATTGATGGACCTGGGGAGCAAAGGCTGGCCTGTGGAGTCCAATCTAATAGAAGAGCTGCTGTAGTTCAAATAGCTGAAAAGGTTAATGTTGGTTCTGATAGGAAGCTGTCTGAATACACAGTGCAGCTCAGTTTGTTGTGTATGGGGCTATGTAGCCGCAGATCAGTCAGGGTGCCCATGCTCACCCGTGTCCACTGCCAAAAGCACTTACAGCATGTGGATGGCCGTGTGCTCAGTGTGTCGCTTACCTGGGGAAGAGATAGCACCAGGATGCACTATTGGAAGAAGGCAAGCAGAGGCAGTGTCATGGTTTGGGCAATGCTCTGCTGGGAAACCTTGGGTCCTGCCATTCATGTGGATGCTACTTTAACACGTACCACCAACCTAAACATTGCTGCTGAATGAGTACACCCCTTCATGGATATGGTATTCCCTGATGGCAGGGGCCTCTTTCAGCAGGATAATGCACCCTGCAACACTGCAAAAATGGTTCAGGAATGGTTTGAGGAACACAACAATGAGTTTGGCCTCCAAATTCTCCAGATCTCAATCCCATCGAGCACCTGTGGTATGTGCTGCAAAAACAAGTCCAATCCATGGAGGCCTCACCTCACAACTTATAGGACTTAAAGGATCTGCTACTGATGGCTTAGTGCCAGATACCACAGCATAACTTCAGAGGTCTAGTGTAGTCCATGCCTGGGTCAGGGCTGTTTTGGTGGCCAAAGAGGGACCTACTTAATATAAGATGGGTGGTTATAATGTTATGGCTGATCGGTGTAAATATATAATCTGAAGCCGTTACATATCGGTCTTTGAATCTGTGCTCTTTTGCCTAACCATAAACCAAACAACATGTTTGCATATACACATACCATACTAATTTAAATCTGCTTGCACTGTATGTTTAGAGGCCATAGAAAGGAAAATTCCACTTATATGTGAGTAGGGTTTGACATATAGAAAAGCCACATCCATGCACCACGCTCTGCTTCTTTCCCAAAGCTGCTGTGAGCTGTACAGTGCACAGCATGCAGTGAGCTCTCTGGCAGCCACAACTCCACATGCATACCAACCAGTAAAAATGAGAAAAATGCACAAAGCCTTAGGACAGAACAACGTCAAGAATGATACAACTAAATATAAATGACGGAAAGGGAAAGGCGGACATATTTCAGGAAGTCAATGTGAAAATCATCACTGGTGAATACATTTATTACTGGCTCCACAAGGAATTGGCTCGGCTTCAGTTCTGGATATAAAAGACACAGCGCGGAGAAGCAACCAGCTTTAAGGCAAACTTTGCATGCAAATGAAAGAGCGACACAAGGAGTAACATTAAGCACTCGGCTTGGCTTGGCCCGGGTCCAGTTGCGTCAGGCACCAGCCAGCATGCTGAGACAACACTTTGCAATTTAGGTGACATTGAAAAACTTTCCACGTTTCTGAAGAGACTGGAAGGGACGGCAATAAAACAAATCCTTCAGTAGCTGAGAGATCAGGAATGATTTAGTAATAAGATGTCACTTACGTCCAGCGTATTACTAAAAGTCACCCTGCTACCAATAAAATACATTGTTAATTTCCTCTTTGTTACCTACAAGTAGATGTATCTTATATTTGCATCGCACCCCATACTGGAATCAACCATGTAGTTAAAGCTGAATTCCGGCAGTGGTGTCACAAGGGGGCTGCGGGGAGTGCGGTCCCGCACCCGGGTGCCACCATTAGAAGGGTGACACCAAAATGACCGACAGTCATTTTGGTGTCACTCCCTATGAAAAGTCGGGCACTTGGTCAAGGACCGAGAGCCCGACAGTGTCAGGAGAGAGGAGGGGACCCCCTCATCAAGATGGCCACCGGCAGGCGCCAATAAGACGGCCACGCATGCGTCACAACGTCATCGTGCACGCGTGCGGCAAAGTCACGCGCATGCACGATGACGTCACGGCGGGCTGTCACCCGGTCTCCGCTATGGGTGTCACCCAGCCTCGGGACGCCCCTGATTCCGGGCTCAGAAACTCTCATGTAAATATATTCCTCCATAGCCACAAAGGATATAAATCAAATTTATGTGCATGAAATGCTTTTCCAAGCCCAGATATTATGTTGTGAAAGTAGCAATGGCATCACCACTGTGCTGCACATAGTCTGTACAAAGAGCAGAGCTGTGGGAGGGACCCAGCAGGCCCCACCCACTATAGACTTTCTGCTGAAAACTACAGGAGAGGGCGGAACAAGACCAATCACCCTGCCCAAGGAGAGAGAGCAGCAGTGACCGGTCTTTATTACAAGAAGCTCCTGTACAAATGAAACTTTTCCCACTGAACTACTGCAAGCATGTAAATAAAATACATTACATGCACAACAAGATTCAAGTAAGAACACAGATGCCTCTTGCTTATCTCAGAGTTCAGCTTTCACAGGGTGCTGTGACGATCCCTGGTTGGTCCCATTGCATAGCATGGATAAGATATGTGGTTGATTCACATAAATCAGCAATGTTTCGGGACCACACAGGGACAGTTCTTGAGGCATGTGACGTTTTAATTCCTGCCTGTGACCTCATTTAAGAGATTTCCTGTCACTTCCTGTCCTGGGGACAGTGTGTCAGGGCAGGACAGTGTGTCATTGGAACAGACAGAGAATTGATCCCTTCTCCACTAACCTATCCAGAGTTCTGGATGGAGTTGGCCTTCCATAAATGTCTCACCTCTGCAGCCAGGTAATTTCCGGTAGCCAAGTGCTTAAACCTGAACAGGCTGTTCCACTGCCCGGCTCCTCCTCGGCACGGATCGTGATGCACAACCTGCAAGATCAGCACAAAGAAGCCATGATGTCATCCGAGGAGTACAGGTCAAGGAAAGGCGCCGATGACGCAATGAAGATTAGATATCAATATTCATAAATACGGATTCTTTACACTCCTCAGCTACAATGTTTTTCCTTCACAGGTAAGAAAATACAAAAACTTTGTTTGTTGCGGGTCACACAAACTATTACACAAATCTTTTTATCTCCGCAGCTATGTTACTGCTTGGACTGAACACCTTCATGTCAGTGCTCTAAGTATGGTAATACATTTTTTTTTTCTTAAATGATAATTACCTCAATTTCCCATAAGGCCTTGGAGCTGGTTGCCGATGTGGCGGACTGGCGTAAGGTGGTACGGAGAAAGATATGTTGCTTTTTTTCATATTCGTCACAGGTCAGAAATTTCTCTTGTTCTGCATGAAAGAGTCTGACCACGTCGCCCTGCGGAAATAACAGATTGTGGTAGTTACATTACGAAGGGTCCTTTACCCCACGTTCACATCCAGCTTAGTTTGAACTACACACTTTATCCTTTCCTCATCTACATAACATAGGGTGGAGGTGTTCTGTAATTCACAGAAGAGAACGGAGAAGTTAATCAATTTAGTTTACAAGCAGTATACAAGCACACTGGAATTCTGTCAGGATCAGCAAGTATTTTCTGTAATGTTCATGTCAAAAAAAAAAGAAAACTAATGCAGCCACCACATCTAATGACTGGTAAGCTGCAATATATTACATTTTTGTTCTTGGGTTTTAATATTTTTTTAATATCCTTTTTTAAGGACTGAGGTGGAGAAAGATTTGATGTAGGACTTCCCAGAGTAGACATGGCACAAATAAAAAAAAATAAAACAATAATTGTATATATATAAAAATAACAAAACAGCTTTTCTTGGAAAGCTGCTGGCACCCATTTCTCACGGCTTACTGGTCCCCCTTCCTCATGGCCTGCTGGTCTCCCAGTTCTCATGGCCGGCTGGTCCCCCCTTTCTCATGGCCTGCTGGTCTCCCAGTTCTCATGGCCGGCTGGTCCCCCCTTTCTCATGGCCTGCTGGTCTCCCAGTTCTCATGGCCGGCTGGTCCCCCCTTTCTCATGGCCTGCTGGTCTCCCAGTTCTCATGGCCGGCTGGTCCCCCCTTTCTCATGGCCTGCTGGTCTCCCAGTTCTCATGGCCGGCTGGTCCCCCCTTTCTCATGGCCTGCTGGTCTCCCAGTTCTCATGGCCGGCTGGTCCCCCCTTTCTCATGGCCTGCTGGTCTCCCAGTTCTCATGGCCGGCTGGTCCCCCCTTTCTCATGGCCTGCTGGTCTCCCAGTTCTCATGGCCGGCTGGTCCCCCCTTTCTCATGGCCTGCTGGTCTCCCATTTATCATGACCTGCTGGTCCTCCTTCCTTATGGCCCTCAAGTCCCCCCTTTCTCATGCCATGCTGGTCCTCCTTTTCTCATGGCCTGCTGGACCTCCCCTTCACATGGCCTGCTGGTCCTCCCTTTCACATGGCCTGCTGGTCCCCCCTTTCTAATGGCCTGCTGGTCTCCCATTTATCATGACCTGCTGGTCCTCCTTCCTTATGGCCCTCAAGTCCCCCCTTTCTCATGCCATGCTGGTCCTCCTTTTCTCATGGCCTGCTGGACCTCCCCTTCACATGGCCTGCTGGTCCTCCCTTTCACATGGCCTGCTGGTCCTCCCTTTCACATGGCCTGCTGGTGCCTCACCATCATTTGGCTTACAAGAAGTACTGGAAGCTAAACTCATGGTCCTGATGTCACCTGATGCATACCTGTTCTGTGTGGTCAGTAAAAGCAAAGGTTCTGGTTGGTTCCTCCTAGTCAGTCTGTCTCTACCCATGTTCATCTAGACTGGTCTTCCTCCAGATTACACTTCTGCCTGACAGTTCTGCACCTCATCTTGTTTCTCTCTCTATTAGCTGTAGCTAACAGGGCAACTGTGGGACTGGACCTAGAAAGGTCACCCAACAAAAGCACATATTCCCTTGTGGAGGTCTCTAGTAAATCTGTGCTTGGTCAATGCAATGCAAAGCAACAGTTTAATTTAACTGCCCCAACCAGCCGCACAAACTCACGATTCCTTAATTTCATTTCTTCACTGAATGTGGAGAGTAACTAGAACTTGGAATTTGTTTTTTTTTTAAACAGAAAGGGGGAGGGGGCAAAAATATATCTTAAAAAGAAAAGGAGTTCCACTTTAAAAATGGCCATAATAATATAGTCCGATTGCACAATCCCCATGAAATCTACTTTAGAATTGTCAACAACAATAATGTAAGGGTCTGCTTCAGAGTTGGGCAACTCCAGCCCTCCAGCTGTGCTTTAACTACAAATCCCAACATGCCCGTGGCTGTCAGCATCTTGCAATGCCTCATGAGACTTGTAGTTCCACAACAGCTGAAGGGCCAGAGCTGCCCACCCCTGGCCTACCTAATAAGTCAATTTCATATAAATCCAATCAAACAGGTTGATAAATCTAAAGAACAATCGGATTGTACAGCAAGTGGCAAGCTTGGGACCTCAGCATTGTCCTAACAGTGATCTAGAGCATGTAAATTCCATTTATACCAATGTTCATGCACAAAAGAATGGTGCTGACATGTAACATAACAATCAAACTGGTCCATGGGTCTCATTAAACTTTTTTTTTATCCTGTTGCAAGGTTTTCCTCTGGAGGTGTCGGGCCGAGCCCTGATCATTCAGCACGGGCTCCTTCTACGAGACTCTACAGTTTACGTTTTGGTGACACGGTTGCTGTGGTGACTCCATTACTCACGGAGACGCCCTGCACATTCTTTTCATGTCACAAGCTGCAGGTAGATTTCATAATCACAACACTGACTGTGAAATGACACCAGCAGCCTAGAGATAAAGGGATCGGCTGAAGATAGGGATCTCCTCATTCCTAGAGACCGGTGCAGTGATTTGTAGACAGGTTATCCCTGTCCCACCAGAGTCATGTGCAGCTTGATGAAGCGTCTTCTGAGCGTGCGGGGAAACTACTATACGCCCGGCCTATATCAAACTCACATTTTAAGGAGCAAAACAAATGACCTTGTTTAACCGATAATGCCGTCCACAACACACTGCTGCCGGGCCGAAGTCCATTCAGTCCACATTAACCCTTTTGTTAACAAAGGTCAACAATGCCATCGCCAAATTTAGCAGTGGCAGAAAGTGTCAGCTGACTTGACGAACGTTCTATGACTAATTTCATAGCTATTTAAGGACGTATACGGATTTTATTTGGTATGCTGTTTTAATAAATAACCAGCTTAGAAGTTCGTTTTTGAAGCTGACAATTGGCCAAAAAACATTCAATCATGTCCCTTAAAAGTGCATAATAATTTTGCTGTAAAGCAGAACTGCAGGCAAAAGTGTTTGTAACCCTTGCAGTGGGGCTACCCTCGCACTGCAAGGGTTAAGTGCTCATTTTTATCTAGGTGCTAAAAAAAAAAAAAAGCTGGCTTGCTCTTAGGCCGGTCCCTGAAGCCTCTCTACCCCTCTGCTGCATCGGTCTAAGGCCTGGTTCGCTCTGGGTGTATTGTAGCAGCTGATTCAGCACTTCAAAAAGCTTCCCCCCCAAAAATCCTATTCATTTTCATGGCCCCTGTTCACACCTGAGCATTTTGTCACAGTAAGCAAAACGCATGTCGCTGGAAAAAGAACATGAGCTTCTCTTTTAGGCAGATTACAGCTCGTTTTGTTTCCATAGAGTCCATAGGAAATGCATGAAAACGTGCGTTGCACTTGGTGTTGCGTGTTTTTGATATTTACATTAATGTGTCACAATCTGCTCATAAAAACGTACAGCATAATGTACGCGCATTTTACACGTGTAAATACACGCAAGAACGTGCTACAAAAAAAGGGCGTTTCTACATGCAAATACGCGGTCGCCTAGGTGTGAATCAGGCCTTGGGCTCCTTAAGTTCTATACACAGTGTATTGGATGTGAGGAAGCCGAGGAACATACCATCACTGCAGCGAAGCAGAAGACAGACTACAGGGACCAGAGCAGCAGCCAGCCAGCTCCTTGGTTTGGGTGAGTATAACTTTTTCTATCACCTAGACAAAAATTAGCACTTGTAACCCTTGCAATGTGGGGGTAGCCCACTACAAGGCTTAAGAACACTTTTACCCTGGAGTTCTGCTTTAATGCCAAAAAATTAAATAAAAAAGCCCATTAAAAAAACAGTTTTTGCCGCAATATTCAACTTCAATCCAGATATTTCCCTGCAGTACATTTTTCTGCCACTAGATGTCCTCAGTCTGATGGCCAGTATCATTCAACCCACTTCCTCTGAGACTACCTTGTCTTGGATACACCTCTAGCCTGTTGTTGGACAGAGTAAGGAGAAACAGCGAAGAGATGAGCTCATCTCTCTGTCACTTCGCTCTCTCCTCCTTTTAGTATGCTTCTCACCAGCACATTAACTGATTGGATCCTTGTACAACATCTTCCTTTCACACTATGGTCCTGATCTAGAGGGAGTAGAAGAGGCTGATACTACGTCAAATTAAGAACTTACACTGCTTGCACCTAAAAAATAAATGTTATGATGTATTAATGATTACAGAGCTGATTTTGCCTTTTATATCCGCCATTTATTTTCCTTAACAGTCTGTTCATCACTTGAACTGCTTCTGTCAAAGTGCTTCTTTCTGTGCACAATGACGGTTGAGCAAGCCGGCACCAATTTGTAAACCTACCAATGTAATCCCAATGATTGGCTGTCACTGATCACACGATCGGAACCATGTTGATTGGTAATAAATAGATATCTTGTTGCACTGCTTGGCAATATTCCTGCAATAAATTGACTTTTGCTTATCTCACTGGATATTGGTGTGCTGGTGACATTTCTACAAATCCATGCTGATTGGTTTGCGATCATGTGATCAGTGACGGCCAACCTTTATATACATCATTGTCACAGAACTAGCAGCCGGTTTGAGATTCCCATTTGAAAACCCTTTTCATGCTGTGAACTGTCTATTTACTGAAGGAAAAAGGACAAGTAAGAATGGGCCCATGGTGTGAGGGGCAACTTGATGATGCCATAATGTCCTATTACGATACCACAGGGCCCATGGGTCACACCCCTCCAAAGGAACACTCCTGATTTTATTTCTAGCCATTTAGAAACTCACCCCTTTCAGGACATCTTCCCGATAGTCACTGAACTTCATAAACAATGTAACCTTCCAGCTTGTGTTGCAGTTCACAGCGTTCACCTGAAATAAACATGCAATGATTTTAATACGTATACAAAGCACATCTGATTGCGGTGACTCCCTACAAAATCGGATTACGTTACCTCCTTACAGCCGGGGTTATCCAGGAGTTCTATATTACTGGCGTGAAGAGGCTGCCCAGCATTCACCGGCATCAGTACTACCTTATCGCCTACAACCACCTACACATCAGAAGAGGAGAGAATCAGAAGGGAACACATGGTCTAAGAAAACCCCCAAAAGTCTTATAGAGACTTCAAAAAAGGAGATCATGTTTATGTTTAACAAGTATTTTGTACTTTTAAAGTGATATTACAGTCAAGAGTATTTTAAGCTCTTTCAAATGCTAATTAAATCGCTTATAATGGATGCTGCTCATTGATGTTTAAAAGTTTTATAGTTTCCTGAGCACTGCCCCTGATATCCTGTTTTAGACCTCATTCTCACTGCTAAGAGCCGGCCCTTACAGATTCGTGCGGCGTGCAGGGCCGTATCGGGCCTCTCCTGGGAAGGACAGGTGCTGCGTGTGATTTGTACGCAACAGCCTGTACTTCTCTATGGGAGGACGCAGCCGTACGCCATCGCACGCTCACCCGAACTACACATCCGTGCGGGTGCAGGTGTTTGTGCTTGGATGCAGACAGGATCCATCCTGTCTGTGTACAAGTAAGGACACCCGCACGGATGTGCAGGTCGGGTGAGCATAGGGCCGCACACTCCCATAGAGAAGAACAGGCTGCTGCCTACAATCACACGCAGCACCTGTCCTTGCCGGGAGAGGCCCGATACGGTCGTGCGCGCCGCATGGATCTGTAAAGGCCGGCTCTTAGCAGTGTGAATGAGGCCTTAGGGTGGAGCTTTTTACCTTTCCTATGGAGTCACCCTTGTGTGTGCTAGTAAGCTGTGTGTGTCTCCACAAACATACAGGTACAGCAAGGCAGGCAACTCCCCTCCTCCCCACTCACGGCTCACCGTTCCTCCCTTCTCCAGGCTAGTAGATGGACGGCTGCTGGAGACTGCTGCTCTGTCCCATATGATCTTGTATTGGACAGAAGGTTGAGGGAAGCTGAGCTAACAGAGTCGGGGCTGTTCTGAAAATATGATGACTGTAAGTGCTTGGGCACAAATGGAAAGAAATACTTTGCTGAGCAATGCATATTTGTTTGATCTGGATTCATTATTGAAAAAACAAATTTGAGCGTTTATTTCTATATTTAAGCTTCAACCAAAGTGGTTTTTTTTTTTTTTACTGCTGGTTAGAGTGGGGAAGAGGTTAGAGCGCCTGTTATGTTTTCATTGACATTTGTGTCCTGGTTAGGAAAATGTCATTTTAACTAGACATAAGCTCAGGTTCGGTCCGTAATTGAGTTCGTCCGAACCCAGAAGGAAGCTGTGAGTGCCAACCCAATCAGCTACGGCCGGGGCATTCCCCACCTGCTTGTAAATATGGACATATTACGTCATTGACATGCCAAAGAGACTAATGGAGGCTGTAGTGCTGGAATAGAGGGGAACCAGGAGACACAGGCCATTAGCGAGGTCAGTATACAGTATAATATCTATGTATATTTATATTCTATGGAGGGGAACTTTCAGCTCCTTTATTAAAGAACCTGACAGGGTTTCTTTAACAAATACTGTGAGGAAGTGAAGTTACAGAAGAAGCTACGTGTTGTATAATTGATTTTGTGGCACGTGAACAGTAAAGGCTTAGCTCAATGACACGCACACATTTAGAGAAACTCTACTGACAGCCGCCCACTGCTATGTGCTGATATAATAATAGGTTGTAAGGAAAAATTACTGTGCTGCCATATTATACAGAAGGCACAATCTGCATTATCACAAAACAATATGTTTTGGATGTAGGTAGAATTAAAGGAAACGTGTGCTGGGAGATACACTGGGGTTGCCCATGCTGAGCTCTATATAAATGTTAGTTACCTGGCTGTATCTGCCTTCAAAACTGATTTGCCTGCTTATCTTAATTGCCAAATACTTGTGTCTCGTTATCTGTAAAATTTGCAATCTTCTTTTTCCTGTGAACAGTAAATTTAGTCAGGAAAACACCCACATTGTCTCCCTCGCTCCTCAGCTTCCAGAACGGCTGAATGTAGAACCAGGAGCCTTCGTTCCCTGCTGCGTCCAAAGACACCCGCATGGCGTTCTTCTCCAACAGCGCCGGCAGCCGCTTGTTAACCGTGAGGTATTTGTTACTCTTAATGTGCAGGAGCTGTAAAGAGAGGAATCACAAAATGGAGTCAAACGCTGGACTTGGTGCAACACCCCAGTTACAGTAGAGCAGAGTATTTCCGGAGAGGACTGGCCATAGCCTGTCAACTAGTGTTGATATGGAGTATATATAACACAAGTAAAGATGTAAAGAGGACAGAGGTAAAACCAGGTAGTTGGTTTCATAAAACCACATCAGGACCAATGCAATTTGCAGTGCCCAGAGCAACCACTAAGAATCCATCTTGTACTGGTCTGTCTCCTGAATTTTGATTGGTTGCTGTAGGATACTGTGTTTTGCTTCATTTGACAAGACAGAAGAAAGAGCCAAATCCCCCCTGGCAGGGTAAAGTATGAGCCGGCTATGCTGTGATAGGTTGGACCTACCTGTATGACATTGCTGTATTTTACAATCTCTCCCAGAAGCTTTTTGTTCTCTGACTCGTTCTGTTTCTGTTCAAGTTCTGCAGCGTGCTAGAAAAACAGAGTAAATGTAATCAATAATTACACAGGATAATAGTATTATTATTTCATTAAAGAGAGATGAGGGAGAGAGAGGGGGCAGGAGAGAGAGGGAGATAGAAAAGAGAGAGAAAAGAGAGGAGAAAGAGAGGAGAAAGAGAGCATGAAGAGAGAGCGAGAGAGAAAAGAGAGGAGAAAGAGAGAGAGAGAGAAAGAGGAAAGAGAACATAATGAGAGCACGAAAGAGAGAGAAAGAGGAAAGAAAGGAGAGAGAGCATAAAGAGAGAGCGAGAGAGAAAAAGAGGAAAGAGAGCATAATGAGAGAGAGAGACAGAGAGAGAAAGAGGAAAGAGAGCATAATGAGAGAGAGAGACAGAGAGAGAAAGAGGAAAGAGAGCATAATGAGGGAGCGAGAGAGAAATAGAGAGAGAAAGAGAGCATAATGAGCGAGAGAGAGAGAGAGACAGAGAGAGAAAGAGGAGAAAGAGGAGAGAGAGATGAGAGAGCATGAGCGAAATAGAGAGAGAAAGAGAAAAGAGAGCATAACAAGAGAGAGAGCCGGAGAGAGAAAGCGGAAAGAGAGGAGAGAGCATAATGAGAGAGCGAGAGAGAGAGAGAGAAGAAAGAGAGCATAACAAGAGAGAGAGAGAGAGAAAGCGGAAAGAGAGGAGAGCGCATAATGAGAGAGCGAGAGAGAGAGAAGAAAGAGAGCATAACAAGAGAAAGAGCCAGAGAGAGAAAGCGGAAAGAGAGGAGAGAGAGCATAATGAGAGAGCGAGAGAGAGAAGAAAGGGAGCATAACGAGAGAGCTAGAGAGAGAGAGAGAAAGTGAAGAGAGTATAACGAGGGCTTTAAGGTGGCCATACACTTTACAACCATCACAAGACCTTAGTCTTGCGATGGTTGTAAAGTAATTAAAAAAACGTACGATCTGCCCATCTTCGACAGGCAGATCGTACTCTCGATCATCGCAAGCCCGCCCCCGTGAGGGGCGGGCTTCCGATAATCGCAATGCTGAACGGGCAGTGTGCGCATGCGCACACCGGCCCGTTCGGCATTTGTCTCCCGAGCACCGTTCAAACCAGCCGAAAATCGTACGATTCTCGGCTGGTTTTCTAGCGTGCTCCTTAGACAAAAGACGTGCGACCGTACAGTAGAAACGGTCACACGTCTTCGTTCACACTGCTCAATTCTTGTACGATCGCGGGATTTCCCTCGATTCTCGTATGAGAATCGAGCAGTGTATGGGCACCTTTACTCTCCCTCGATATACACATAAATAATTGTTCTGTCAGTGGATGGGACTTTTCAGGTGCTACAATGATTTACACAGGAATTATTGTAGTTAATACATATATATTCTATTGCACAATATATAAAACTAATGACAAAAGTCAAACAAAGAGCTAATATCGCATGTAGTCACTCATAATCTCACCAATAGATATAACCATGGCACGGATATCAGTATCATTTAGTTGATGGAGTCGGGGATCACTCTACACATTTCTCAGACCGTGGAGATCTGCATCATCAGGAGTGGAGGTCAGTTCCCTAAGTTTTATAAGATGCGTATAAATGATCATTTTGGTAAGGAATACCAGCCATAACCTTCCCCACGAGGACAGAGGAGGGGATTAAAGGAGATGGTGGGGTTACTGGGGTTGAATTGTGTCAGTAGCTGGGAGGAGGATAATAAATGGACAGCCACTTAGGCTGAATAACGGGTGGCCTGGTGCTTGGCACATTGTTATGGGGTCATAATACACCCCTCCGAAACAGGAAGTGGTGTTTTTGGCACTTGTCAGGGACCTTAGATGGCACTGATGTTTTTCGCACAGTCTAATTTGTTGCACTTTGCACACGGGTTATTTGGAATAGTATAGGGTAGTGTTCTGTTATTGTTATAATAATTGTACATTGCAGTTACCACTCACTTCCAATTGTCAGATAAACGTTTGTTAACTTAAATGCTGTGTAGTGTCATTACTGTAGGTGGGGAGTGAAGGGCACCTTGGGCTTGCCATATTAGTTTCCTGGCTGTATCTGGCTTCATTACTTTTTGAGTCACTGGAACAAGCATTCAAATAAGAAACATACAGTCACAACTCCTGATCTCGGTCAGTCTCTCAAAAAGCTCTGAAGCTACTGAAGCTGCATGACAGCCAGGCAAGTGGCATTTTCACAGTGGAACAGCGGAAAGCTCATTATTTTGTCAGTACAGGACAATCACATCTCCACATTTGCAGTGATTCATTTTGGAACCTAGCGCTGAGTGTAGCAGGTCACAATTATGTAATTAGTATAGTAGTAACAGTATCAGATGAGAGGAATGATCATAATGAGCTGTTGTAATGAAGTGGAGAATACTGAGTAACAATCAAAACGCATTTCATCCTTTGAAAGTTTTCATGAAGTTATGTGGCTACAAAGTGACGTTAACAGTTTCTGTTTATCATCAGGAAAACTATTATGTGACCTTTAATACTTATTATTATGCTTTTTCCCTTTTTCAGTTGCATAAGCTTCAAAATAAAATACAAAATACACAGAGAGGGGAATTTACCAAAGCTGGAGCAGACAAAATCCAGAGCAGCTGTGCATGACAAGCAATCAGCTTCTCTCTTTCATTTTCAAATCGTAACTCAACAAACTGGAGAGAGAAGCTGATCGGTTGCCATGCACAGCTGCTCCGGTTTTTGTATGCTTCAGTTTTGATAAATTCTCCTCACAATGTTCTGTTTTTTAAAAACACTCCAAGTTACTGCAGTCACGCTCTTCCCAGTTTCCTACTTCCTCATTTTGGCCGTTCTGAATTCAGTGCTTCCAAGACTGCGGGAAAGAAGCGATTTTCCAGTGTGACAATATTTGAATGTGCGGTTTTTAGTGTATTTGTTGATAAAAAAGACACAAGCTGACTGAGAATGGAGAAAAGAGAACGGCGTGGAAAATGTCACGACACCCACACAAGGAGGCCATGAACTCCGGCTCGGCTGGCACAGTGAAGGCGTATTGTGAGTCACACCTCGCAGTGGCTTCCTCCCAGGCCTCGGCTATGAAACAACGAGCAGACGAGTTAGTCCGTAGGGTTCAATATTGAGTTGGCCCACCCTTTGCCGCTATAACAGCTTCAGCTATTCTGGGAAGGTGTCCACAAGGTTTAGGGAGTATGTGTATGGGAATGTTTGACCATTCTTCCAGAAGCGCATTTGTGAGGTCAGGTACTGATGTTGGACGAGAAGGCTCGCAGTCTCTGCTCTAATTCATCCCAAAGGTGTTCTATCGGGTTGAGGTCAGGACTCAAGTTTCTCCACCCCAAACTCACTCATCCATGTCTTTATGGACCTTGCTTTGTGCACTGGTGCACAGTCATGTTGGAATAACAAGGTGGCCATCCTGCAAACTTTTCCCACAACGTTGGGAGCATGAAATTGTCCAAAATGTCTTGGTATGCTGATGCCTTAAGAGTTCCCTTCACTGGAACTAAGGGGTCAAGCCCAACCCCTGAAAAACAACCCCACACCATAATCCCCCTCCACCAAACTTTACACTTGACACAATGCTGTCAGGCAAGTACCGTTCTCCTGGCAACTGCCAAACCCAGACACATCCATCTGATTGCCAGACAGAGAAGCATGATTCGTCACTCCAGAAAACACGTCTTCACTTCTCTAGAGTCCAGTGGCGGCGTGCTTTACACCACGGCCTCCGACGCTTTACATTGCACTTATGAAGCCAATCTGAAGGCCACACGAAGTGTGGAGGTCTGTATCTAGTGACTCTGCAGACAGTTGGCAACTTATGCGCACCATGCACTGACCCCGCTCTGTCACTTTACATGGTCTATTACTTTGTGTCTGAGTTGCTGTTGTTCCCTGTTGCTTCCACTTTGTTATAATACCACTAACAGTTGTCTGTGGAATACTATCACGGTACCACGCTGTAATTCACTGAGCTCCTGAGAGTGACCCATTCTTTCACAAATGTTTGTAGAAGTGTCTGCATGCCTAGGTGCTTGATTTTATACACCTGTGGCCATGGAGGTGATTGGAAACACCTGAATCCAATGATTTGGAGGGGTGTCCCAATACTTTTGTCAATATAGTGTATACAAAAACACATACATATACACGTACATACATGCACACACATATACTGTATCAACTCACCAAGCAATGTATTAAAACATCTGCTTATTCTTGTAATTCTGTAATCAGCAAATCATGCAACAGCAGCACAATACATAAGATCATGAATCATGATACAGGTCCGGAGCTTTAGTTAGTGTTTACATGAAACAACAGCATGGGGAAAAATATGATCTCAGTCATTTTGACCATGGCATTGCTGGTTGTGCCAGAAGTCCTCATTTGAGTACGGTATTCCCTTAACTGTTGACCTCCCAGGTTTTCTGAATGCAGTGGAACACCTTTGGGATGAATGTGCAGCTGAGTAATCTGCACAAATTGCATGATCATGTCAACATGGAGCAGACTGCCAAAGGGATGTTTGTGGAATCCGTGCCATGAAGGATTGAGGCTGTTTTGCTATTAAAGGGAGGCCCTACCCATTATTAGTATATTGTCTGTGTATATCCCTGTTCTTGGATGGCTTTCCTTTGGATATTCAAGGTTTCCCTAACTGGCTCACTGTCTTCTAAAAAATATATTTTACTATTAGATGAAAATGAGCAATGTAAAACAGCAATTTATGGCTCCCAGGTTGGAGTATCTTCTTTTCATTTAAAAGCTATAAATCTTAAAAGTTCACTCACCTGAAGTTTCTTCAGAAGTGCAGCTTCTGTGTTGTTCCCTTGTTTTGCCTGTTTAGCTTTCCAGAATTGTTTCTGTGCCGAGTACCTGTTCATAGGACACACCTTGAACAGACAGTCTGCAAGAGAAGATTCGGAGTAAACATAAGCATCTTTTAATAAAACCATCTACAGATGAGAACGAAAACAGGAAGCCTTAGGCTAAAGTTTGAAAACTAACTCCAGCCAATTCTTTATTTTTTTCTGTAGCTTTATATAAAATGCAGAAAAGTTAAAGCACAACTCCAAGCTAAGTTAAAAAAGGAGCCCCAGCAAGTGTTCAAATTACTGAAGATTCAATAAGACACAGCCAACTGCAAGGCATCCACTTCTTGCTGTGAGGCCTCTTGATAGCTCATAATGCTTAGGGAATCCCTTTTCCTCTTTTTTATGCTTTATTTTTAGTGATGCACGGATGCCGGTTTTTCGGTATTAAGTACAAGTACCGAAATCTATTTTCCGGTACTCGCCGATACCAAGTACTGATACCGGTACTTCTGCTAGCATGGAGCCGGCTTCCCAGCCAATCAGGAAGCCAGGCGGCCTGTCATTATCCACTGCCCGACTTCTTAATTGCCCGGCTCCATGCTGTTTGGCCAGCTCAATGCTGATTGGCTGGGAGGCCGGCTTCCCAGCCAATCAGCATGAAGCCGGCCAAAAACCATGGAGCCAGCTTCCCGGGCCAATCATGAGTAATTAAATCTCCCTCTGACCCGAAGTTCCAGTATCTGGGGTAAGTATCTGAGCATTTAGGTGAGTACAACTACTCACCCAAATACTCAGTGTCAACACTGATACTAGTATTGGGATCAGTGCATCCCTACTTTTTTTTTCTCAAAACAAACATTGTGTACACGGAGTAAAAAAACATGTAAAACATCTGTCTAAACATACCTCTTTACACAGTCCTACAAAAAACATTGTCCTGCTGACTAAAAGCATCAAGGAGTCTTGCCTGCAGGCTTGGTACTTTATTATAGTCCTAAAAATCATTATCCTCCAGTGCTAATCTTCTGACATGTACAGCTTAGGGTCCCTTAGTGGCACCCAACCCTGCGCTCTGTCACACATGCCCCATATCCAATAGGCAGGCCCTACCTAGGAGACACCAACAACAATCATTGATCAGGACACATTCTAAAACAACTGTGAATCTTTCCTAAGCTCTTAATTATCACTTACTTCTACAAAGAGAACCTATCACTCTTTTCATTAGCAGCTATTTTATGACCTACTGGAACAAGAATATTGATGGTCAAGAGGTCTACTTCTATAAAATGGAAGAAGGGCCTTTGCATCACCCAAAGGAGTCATCAAGGATCCAAAAGAGTATGGGGAGGTCAAACAGTATCCTTCCCAGGGCCCCATCCTGTTCTTGGGCAGCCCCAATGTACAGGATAAGAGGCTGAACATCAATGTAAAAGTTATTTCCCGACGAGTGGCTTACTGTTTTATTTACTGAACTCTCTGTACATAAACTGTATCTAATCAGCTCCTTCAGCTGCTCTATTCCCACATCACATCAAAGGCACCCGGCCTCTGGTCTACATTACCAGCGTTTCTCTTAGATGTGATATAAACCATCCTACTTTTAAATGATTGCAATAATGACCCACATATATTCAGACTAGATAAATCTCTTCCTGGCCAAATAATGTTCTTAAAGCAGAACTACACACTTCTATCCCTTACAGCCAAGGAAGGTGCCATCTCAGCCTATTTTTGGATTGCAGTAGCCATGGTGCGGCACATTTGATCAGCTATATCATCAGCAGTTTGAGGGCTTGAGAGTTTGGTTGAGAGCTGAAATTAGCACACTGGCAACATTTACAGCTGTCATGCCTTAAAAGTAAATGTTTTAAGAGACTTTAAATTAATGGGTAAAATTCCTCTTAAAATGGAAACAACAGTCTCCAACCAAACGTTTTGTTTCAATTTTTTCATTTGGAGTGAGTGGGGAAGGATAAGAACATGAGTCCTATAGGGGTAGATGTAGGGGTTGGAAGATGGAACCACAGTGGGGACACAGGCATCCAACACTCCTGGAAGTGACAAATGGCAAATAGATTTTTTATGGCTGTCGTGCTAGAATGGAGGAGCAGTAGCAGAAATAAGCCCCCGGGAAGGTTAGTATATGCTTTAATTTTTGTGTAATATATGCCTTTTACCGCATGTGATTCATGGATTTAAAGGATTATTAAACCCTCATTTTTTTTCATATATCTACTGCTAGCAAGCAAAACGTTTTTTTAAAAAAACTTTTTCAAAGGGTTAATACTGACTTTTGTCTCCGCCGCGCACTCCCGTCCGAACATCTGAAAATTTATCAGGCGGCCGCATGCGCAATTCAAATGTTTGGCCGGGAGACGAGGAGAGACACAAGGTAAGTCTATGGAGCAGCGTGCACACCGCACAGACACCGTGGGACATGAGCAAAGAGGAGGACAGAGGAGTCAGCGCTGGATCAGAGACCGGCACCAGCGCTGGAAGGACAGCTAAAAACTCCTGGAAAGAAGATGATCGGATTAAGAATCACCATTTAAGGTAAGTCCTTACATTAACCCCGGGGGAGGGGGGGGGGGGAATTTGGCCTTAATGTCACTTTAAAGAGCATGTAAACCCCAAACAATAAACCTCTCTTAGTTGCTTCCTTTTTGGTCTGTTAAATATAAAATTACAAGGTATTTATCTGTTGAAAAGGTGTAAAAAAATAGTTGATCCTGAGAAAAGTATTACCAGCTAATATCATGTGTGCTCTCTACTGTTATAAGTTACATAGCTCCCAGCTGTCTTTGAGAACCACAGAACCACATCCCTCTGTTTGTAATCCAAATAGGGAGAGCAGCCTATATGCATCTCCATAAATACAGTACTACCAAAATGGCAAGGTGAAAATAAATTAGCAAAAAAGCCTGAAAACGAAACTTTTGTTCTAGGGTTTGCAGATGCTTCTAGCTAATCCCTTTCAAGGTTATATCTACACTTTCCCTTAAATATGTGTGCCATTTCAGAAAATAATGCAGCCACATCTAAAAAGTGGTAAGTTACAACATACTGCATTTGTGTTGTTGGGTTTACATATGCTTTTTCATATGCTTTTCGATCCCTTTCAAGATCTGACACGCTTAAAGTGTATAAGAGATTTTCGTGATTGGGTTTCAGTCTACTTCAACAGGTTACACAGACACTTATGTTCACGTCTGAAATCTCTCTTGCAGTATTATATCTTCCTTCCACGAGTATATTCAGCATGATACACTACACTGCACTGGAATGCCGGTTTCTAAATGGTGCACAAGGTGAGGATTCACCTACTGGGCATCTGCACCGTTACTCTTTAAACAATAGCTGTTTTTATGATGGTTTGTTTGTTTTATGTTTTGGGTTACCTGCTACCAAAGCCGGTCACCTTGATTTAACTTTCTGGTGTAGCTGACGTTGTGACTGAATTTACTATAAATAGTATTAGCAGGTAAAGGGTTTGAAAGTGCAATTATTAAACATGCCCTTGTCCATAGATCGCTTCTTCACGAATTAGGTTCCAGTCACACCTGAGAGATTCAGGTACGTGCGCCAAACACGCAAAAAAAGTGCACTTTGATGCGCATTCCCGAAACGCGCAGAAAATCCAAAACGTGCTTGCTGTGCTATTCCTATTAATGGCGCCGGAAACACTGCCAAGAAGACGCGCATTTTTCCTTTGCATTTGCACACGTTAAAATATGCACAAATGCGGAGAAAGAAAATGCAGAATGCATGTCGCAGATTTTGCCACATGCACTACTTTTCCACGTTTGTCATGTGTGCAAGACCCCACTAAAATCAATAGGGATGTGCAGTAAGAAACAGACAAGAAATGCACACAAATGCACACGAACACGTGCCTTGCGTTTGTGCTATGCTCAGGTGTGACTAGGGCCTTATTGTCAGGATTGTAATCCTCAGGTAAACCTAGTTTCTGCTGAACTCTGAACTGCTTGCTCCTCCCTTGAACTTCCTATTTAAGCCATGCCTCTGCACTTCCTGTTTGCCAGATTATTGTGCTCCTGCCAATATCTTGCTTCCTGCTCCTTCTGTGATACAATCCTCTCATACTGCTACCCGTGTACTGACCTTTGGCTGCTGATTCACCGACTACTCTCATCGTCTTCTGCTTCATACCTGATGCCTTTGTCTACTGACCTCGGCTTGTTCTCTGACTACGCTTCTGCCTCCTCCTATACTACTACCGTCTGCTTGTCTACCAAACTTGGCCTGATATACCACGAATTTGCCTGCCGTTTCAGCTACTGGACTCTGAGCCTGATTGTGACACTTAAGGTGCTTAAGTCCCGGACTGTCCAGGTGAATCCGGGACAGGTGGCAACCCTAGATTTGTGCATGGATTACCTCTTCATCGTGGCAGTACGGATCGGATGTCACAGCTGTGACATCTGTGTCCGTTCTCCTTTTTACTCCATCTTGCAAGAGAGGGAAGAATGAAAAATGGCAGACCCCATGTTGGTCTATGGGGAGTCAGTCTATGGGGGAGATCAGTTTACCCCCGATCTGGCATATTCAGGTCCGGTGAAACGGAACACTGTTCCGTTTATTTTTCCGGACCTGAGAAGAGTCGGGGGTAAATGGATGCCCATCCGTTTACACACAGCTGCCCATAGACTAGAGTTGGGCATCCAATCGCATCCGCCTAAAAAAACTGACATGCGGACCAGATCTAACCGCCCATCTGAAAGGGGCCTAAAGGGTGCCGTGACTGACAAAAGGTTGAGAAACATTGCTTTAGTAGAGTAGGAGAAGGCTAGATTTCTATTGCGGTTTGTGTCCCCATTGCAGATAGGGCCCCCAGATAGCAGTTAAAACATGACAGGGGTTATAATCCTTCCCAATCCTACCCATAACTAGAAAACGTTTTTTGCTCGACTTACACTTTATTATGTGGCATACTCAGGTGTTGTCAGGAGTACAGGAAGGAAAATTGTTTTTGATAGATTTATAAAAGCTCTCTCTGAGAGGCCGCAGAGCACTTTATGACGTCTGTCCATTAAACAACGCTGGGCTTCCGGAATGAAGGCGGCATACA